TTTTTTTTTTTTTTTTAATGCAGCATCTTGCAGCAAAATCTGTCCAATTGCATTTCTGAGAAATTCTCCCCCTCCTGGAATTTCTTTCTTATCATCTCCATTTCCCACCCTTTCTGAACGTTTTATCAAGGAGAGTTTAGCTGTAAAGGGAAACTAATCAAGTTTGACCCTTACGTGCTCCACTTTAGTTTTTTTAAGGTAAACCGGTTCTTTTTGACGAATATTTTTACACTACTTTCCGTTCATGCATGGCATAGACAATAACGTGGCTATTTTTTAGAGAGATCAAAAAAATAAATACGTAAAAAGAAGAGTGCTTTTGTCCTTCAGGGGAAGGTACTGAGCTCTGTTTTTTCTCTCTTTTGGGGAGGAAAATCTTCTGAGGTTTTATTGTTTAAAACAAGAAACAGTGTTTAACAAAAATCATTCGGTAGCTGGCATTCGATCTGAAAGATGAAGAAAGGTGAAGCAAGTTTCCAGTATTGAGGGTTTGCTGCCCTCTCATGGACACCGTTTGTTGTGGGTTTTTTCCCCCTTACAAGCTGAGTGTATACTTTCACAAAGATACAACATAAGATTAATCAATAATCAGCTTCTATTTTCGCATAGGCAGCAGATACAGATGACGCATCTGCTAGCAGAGAAATCACTATTCCCGTGGCCCCTCAGTGGTAAATGAAAGTAACGTAGTCTGCCATGTTGGTCATGCACAATCTTTTCATCATAGGCCCAAAGAAAACCCAAATAGGGCAAGACAAACACCAAGACTCTGAAGGGGACATCAGAAAAGCTCAAACCAGTAACAAATGTCCTGTTCCACACAGAATTTGTTAGTATCCTAGGCTGGGCTAGGAAGATAATTCTGGAGTACAGTGGGGAATCCATGGCTAACTTCATGCTGTTCCCTTTCCTAAGGCCAGTTTGCTCTGTCCAGGGGGGGTGAAATTCAGGGACCATGACTAGAGTGTGATGGGAGACCAGGCCACCATCAGAAACTGGGCACTCTGTAGTCAGGTCCTCTGTCATCCCCAGGAGATCTCAAGGGTAAGGTAGCTGCATCCTGCACTGGTATTACGGTTTGAGAAACCCATAACAATTTATTGTCATTTACACAATTATCCTATCACCTGCTGACCCATCCCCACACAAGACGAGGTCAAGAAAAAACCAAGGAAACACAAGGGCTGAAATATAAAAAGATTTAATAGAATAAGATTAGATAATTAACATTAATAACACTAAAGAACCGATATTTATCCCAGTACCAATACAAAACATACAAAGATTATACTCAGCCAATTCTATCAGTAGGAAACTGTGCACTCCCATCAGTGGACAGTAAATGTTGGACACTGTGAGCACTACGGATTCAGGAAGAAGGGAAGGCCTCAGGTGCCTGGCATCGGGGCAAGAATTTTTTGCGATTTTTGCAGCCATCAAGGAAGAAAGAGACTTCACAGCAAACTTCTAATTTATGTTGAATGCGACGTTCGTGGTATGGAATAATCCTGTTAGCCAGCTTCGGTCAAGTGCACGGGTCTCACTCCTCCTCGTCCCTGCACCTGGTAAGCTCGAAAACACTGGGACCTTGAAACCCGCATACCATAGCTGGCTATAAAGTAAATATTTTCACAAATTCAGACACTACAGTCTTCTAAAAGAGCAGTCTTCCCAAGCATTAGAAGATAAATTAGTCCTGTGTCGCTCAAACCAGGACAACTGTTAAGGAAAGATACTTGGTGTAACATTTGCTGTAGGCTTTATGACTCTCTGGTACACAGGCAAGTCCCCAGGACATTACACAGGGCAATTTAGCACAACCTGCTGCAGAGCTCTCTGAGTCTGTTCTGCCATGAAAATCCAGTTCTTCAGTCTGTTCAACCCGTGGGAATCTGACTGTATCACAGACCCCTGCAGAGAGTTATTACCACTTGCAGACCTTTGCCATGAGGTTACTGGACAATCCTGGGCTTCACCAAATCACATTCCCATGCAGTCCCTGATGAGCTGAATTTTTGTTTCTGCGTTTTTCCCTTGGATCAAATTGTTAGAGCTTCATGCTGTAACCCTGCTCCATAATTAGCTGCTTCTGCCCAGAAGACTGTGACTGCATGTAATATTTCCCCCGTCTCTTGCTGTCTGTCTCCTTGTCTCCATGACCTCCTTAGCAAAATGACAGAACCCATTAGGAAATGGATTTTTTTTTTTTTTAAATAAGTAGATAGGATACTTACATAGTAAGTTCATAGCACTGTTTTTCAACTCATGACAGAAATTCATCTAATCAAGTGAAGCAAGGTTGGAGCCAAGCTCCCTTTCTTCTTTTGTCCCAGGTGATTCCAAATTACACATCACATTTCATCCGGTCTCTTTGGTCTGTCTAGGAAAAATAAACTGTGACTGTAACTTGAGATAGAAAAGTAGCAGCTTGTGGAAAGCTTCTAAGATTCATAGAATTATTTGCATTGGAAAGGACATTCAAAGACCATCTAAACTGACCCTCCTGCTGAGGGTAGGGGTATCTTCCACTCGATCAAGTGAAAGCCTCATCCAACCTGGCTTTGAACATTTCCAGGGATGGAACATCCACAGTGTCTCTGGGCAATCTGTTCCAGTGTCCCACCTCCTTCCTCATAAAAAATGTCTTCCTTGTGTCTAACCAAAATCTACCCTCTTTGAGTGTAAAACTTGTGTCTTGTCCTGTCACTATAGGCCCTTCTGAAAAGTCTTTCTCTGTCATTCTTATAAACCTCCTTCAGATATTGAAAGGCCACAATTAGGTCTCGCCTCAGCCTTCTGTTCTCCAGGCTGAACAACTCCAATTCTCTCAGCCTTTCTTCATGGGAGAGGTGTTCCAGCCCTGCATGGGGTTCATGTGGGCCCCCTCCTCAAGCTTGTCAAGGTCCCTCTGGATGCATCCCTTCCTCTAGTGAATCAGCTGCACAGCTTGGTGTGATCCACAGACGTGCTGAGGGTGCACTCACTCCCACTATTTATGTCACTGATTAAGATATTAAACAATATTGGTCCCAGTACAGATCCCTGGAAGACACCACTCATTACTGGTTTCCATTTGGACATTAAGTTGTTGGCTGTAACTCTTTGGATACAGCTATCCAGCCAATTCCTTATCCATTTACCAATCCATCCATCTAATCCACACTTCTCCAATTTAGAGGTAAGAATGTTGTGGGGGACCATTTCAAAGGCCTTACAGAAGCCCAGGTAGATGATACCAGTTGCTCTTCCCTTATCCACTGATATGGACAAAGGAAGTGTTATGGTTTGAGAAACCCATAACAATTTGTTGTCATTTAGACAATCTTTAGACCCAATGACCCCTCCCCACCTGGGAAGCGGAATCAGGGAGAAAACAAGGAAAGACGAGGCTTGAAATATAAAAATATTTAACAGAGTAAGATCAGATAATTAACATTAGTAACACTAAAGAACAAATATTGATCCTTATACCACTACAGAATATACAAAGATTACACTCAGCCATTTCTATCAGTCGGAAGCTGTGCACTCCCAGCAGTGAGAGCAAATGTCAGACACGGCGATCGTGACGGCTTTGGGAGGAAGGGAAGGCCTCAGGCATCTGGCACCGGGGCCCGAAGTTCTCAGGATGGCAGACATCAAGGGATTGAGCGAGCTTCACAGCAAACTTTCTACTTGATACTAAATTTGATGTTCATGGTATGAAATAATGCTGTTGGTCAGCTTGGGCCAAGTGCTCAGGTCTTGCTCCTCCTCGTCCCCACACCTGGCTAACTCAAAAACACCGAGTCCTTGAGATCCACACACCGTAGCTGGCTATAAAGTAAATGCTTTCACAAATTCAGACACTAGAGTCTTCTAGAAGTGCAGCTTTCCCAAGCATTAGAAGATAAATTAGTCCTCTGTCACTCAAACCAGGACATGCAGTAACCGAGATGAGTGGAAATCCACAGGGGCAGCAGTGCACAGGCTGAGGGGAAGGAGGAGAAATGATGAATTAGGAGTACCGACTGATAGGCCAGGGGTTCAATTGGCATTAACATGACATTATACTTGTCCCTGCAAGCTCATATTCCTCAGGCCACTCTTGCTCTTTCTCACTGCATTGTCCTCTTCCAGCTGGGAAAAACAATCTCCAGTAGGCACCTACGCTATGCTGCCCAGCTCAGCTTTACAAGTTAAACAGAATTTTTGGGGGTTTGATGTTAATTTTGTGCCTGTACTTGACAATATATCCAGTGGAGCCTATATAGGCTATTCCACTCTGTTCCTGCATAAACATACACCTCCTTTCTGTAGCATGGGAAAATCTCTTACATTATTCGGCAGCTATCTCCAGCTAACAACTATAAACTCTGTTCAGCTGAACCCACAGCTATGTACTTTTTACCTGTAAAAGTATTTTAGACTGGTATCATGGGACTTAAGCCGCTGTTCTCCATCACCACTTGTGTCCAGTGATGTCCTAATCTTCTAAATCTCAACT